GCCTCAAAGGTCTTTTCTTAGGAATTCTTCTAGGCACTTCATAGTTTTTGATTTCACATCAAGATCTGCGATCCATTTTGATTTAGGGCGTGACCTAAGGGAAGGGTTGATATCAATTCTCTTTGTACAGATACCCAGCTGCTCCCACATCATTCGTTGAAAGCTCTCTTTTCTCATTAAAGTGCATTTTGCATCCTTGTCAACAAGTTGTTACTTGTCTCTTTCTGGTCTCTCTAGTCTGTTCCACTGGATGATTTGTCTACTTCACTGTATTTGTCTTTTCACCTGTGTCACACTCTTGGTTACTGTACCTTCACAAGTCACAAAGACAGACAAGTGCTTTGACCCTTTGACCTTGTTCTTCTTTTTTCTAATTGCTATGGCTATTCTTAAAACTTTCCAATCACTTTGTCAGTTTCTGCCAGAAATTCCTGCAGAGATTTTTATTGGAACTGTATTTAATCTAGAGATCCTCTGGGCAAGATTGCCATCCTGACTGTTTCAATCTATGAACATGGTATACCTCTTCATTGATTGAGATCTTTGGTTTCTTGGCAGCCTTGGGCTTTTCAGCATGGAGATCTTAAATACCTTTTGATAGACTAATTCAAAAATATTATATATGGAGGTTTTTTGCTTCTATAAATGTTTTACTTATTTCATTTCCAGTTGTGCATTGCTAATTGAAGAATACAATTAACTTTTCTTTAACCTTTTATTCTATAATCTTGCTAAATTCACATATTGGTTCTAAAAGTTGTTTTATAGTTTCTCTGGGTTTTTTTAATGTAAACAATCATATTAGCTGCAAAAATAGTTCTACTTCTTCTTTTCCAACTTTATGAGTCTTATTTTCTCATCTTGTCTTATACAAGGCCAGGGTCTCCAGTTCAGCAGTGAAACTGGGTATCCAAAACAATTCAGTCTTTTACCACTTTATATGATGTTAACTGTAGAATATCTTTAGGTATCCCTTATCAATTTTAGAAGGTTCCCTTCTATTCCTTATTTTTATTATAAATGCACATTAGATGTTAAGTGTGCTTTCTGCATTTATTCATGTATGTAATTCTTTTTTTTTTGGTACCGGGGATCAAACTCAGGTCCTTGCTCTTCCACAGCAGGCAGCGAAACCACTGAGCTAAATCCCTGGCCCTATGTATGTAGTTCTTGTGGGCATCTCTGGCTATTTTCTAAGGATTCATTCCTAGAAATAAAAATAAAGATCGAATGAATATTTTTAAGCCTTTTCCATTCTGTTTCCAAGTTTTCATTCAGAGACATTGAGGCAGTTTATATTCCCCAAGCTGTGTTAGCCTGTTTCCTCACTTCCCTGCCTATACCAAATTTTACAATTTTAAATTGCCCCCAACTTCAAAAACCTTCCCTGAGATAGTATCTTGTTTCTAGTTGCATTTATTGTATTGCTCTGGACATGAACATTTTATTGGCTATTTGTATTTATTCTCTAATAAATTATTGTTGTTTACCTTTTGCCAGTTTTCTGTTGGGCATTCTTTTCTTTTTTCTTTTTTCTTTGTATGTTTTTTAAAAATACATCAAAGTTATTCATCTTTATCATATACAATATATATCCCAGTTCTTGGACTTTTTGTTTTTCCTCATTGTTGTTGTTTCAAGAGACTTTATTTTTTTAGAGCAGTTTTAGGTTTATAACAAAGCTGAGTGGAAGGTGCAGAGATTTCCCACAGGCCCCTGGCCCCCAGCTGCACCGCGCTCCCCAGTACAGTGCCCCCACCAGAACGGTGTGTTGGTGACAGCGGAAGAGTGCTCTGGCCCGTCACTGTCACACACAGTCTGCGGGTCACGCTTACTTTGGATGTCCTCCAGATCTGGACAAAGTATAATGACGCGAACCCGCCATCACAGTGTCACACACAAACTCCTTTCATTGCCCTAAAACTCCTCCCTGCTCTACCTTCCATGGCTTCCTTCCTCCAACCCTGAACCACTGACCTTTTTGCCCTCTCCATAGTTTGCCTTTTCCAGAAGGACATAGAGCTAGCATCATGCAGCAAGCAGCCTTTTCAGACGGGTTTCCTTCACTTAGTAATTAGTACCTAAGCTTCCTTCATGTCTTTTCATGGCTGACAGCTCACCTCTTCTGGGCAGTGAATAATGTTCCATTGTCTGGATGCACAACAGCTCACTGTTTGTCCATTACCTACCAAAGGACATCTTGGTTGCTTCTGACCTTTGACCGCTGTGAGGGGTCACAAAAGGGTGGGGTTATTTCCAGGCCTCCTCTCCTGGCACAGTGTCTCCTGCTTACCCCATGGGTGACGTTCCCAGAAACTAGATAGAGGCTCACTGTGGAGAGTCCCTGGCAAAAGGCCCCTGCTGGTCGCCTGAGTGGGGAGCTGATTCCAGACCAGGAAGGGGTCCCAGAGAGAAGGCCACCACATCCCTTCCCCTACCAACTTGCCTCCAGGCAGAAGTCTGCTTAATCCCTTACACAGCTCCTTGGGGGAAAATTATTCGCATCAATTAATTGACTGACTCATTAAGTCAACACTGTGCTTGGGATCTGCAACTGGAGGTTCATTGACTTTTCCTTCAGCTGACTCCAAAGAAAAGCAAGTGCAAAATTAGAGGTAGGGATATTTTGAATAATGTTAAACTCTGGCCTGTGTCTCTTTGATCTTGGGAGCCACAACTCAGTGTGCCTGGAAGTTTTTTCCTCACCCCTCAACGTTTTCCTAAAAGTAGACCCTTCCTGCATGTAGCAGCTATCACTGCTGCGTAACAGACCACCCCAGCTTAACATTAAAAAGCCACCTTCCCTTGCCCACAGCTCTCTGACTGTGCCAGGCTCACCTAGGCCATTCTGTGGGGGCCCTCGGGGCTGGGTCAGGAGGCCACAGTCATTGGGGCACCACTGCAGCTGAATGTCCCCTGCTCCTGGACTCTGGTCTTTCCTGCCTGTGCTGTACAAGAGGATCCTGCAGAAGCTGCCAGGCCTCTTGAGGCCCAGGCTCCAGAATTTACACAGCAACACTTTTGCCACATTCTCTTGGGCAAACAAGGCCTGCTTAGATTTCAGGGACAAGAGACAAATGTCACTCCTGGTGGGACTGGGAGGGCTGCAGGGACGTGAGGCACCTCTCAGTCACACCTGGTGCCTGACCCAGCAGTCCTTCCACACAGAAAAATGACTTGTGTTCTAAGTGTTGCCAAAATACTGCTGGCTTCTCTCATTCCTTTCTTGCTATTGTATTTTGGTGATCCTTAGAAAATGACAGAGACTAAGAAATACCTGTTCTTAAAGCTTAGCATCTTCAGGATCTCTGAAGAAAATATTTTTAACTTAATAACAACTTGGGAGTCACTGCCTAAATAAACTTTCCTTTTAATTTTAATGCATTGCACATAATTTTATGAACCAACTATAAATTATTGGGAATACGTATGAATAGTCTTAAAACCAAATTCACATGTGTAGAAAATCATCAAAAAAAAATTTTAAGTAAATTTTTCAATGTTCCCTGGGTTTTATTTCCTTTAAAGTTATTTTTTTCCTATGGTTTTTAAATTCCCAGACATTTTACATTTTCACTCCAGCCCTGAGCATTAAATGGCTCTATGTTCTGTGCCGAGCTGGTGCTGGGAGCAGGGAGGTGGCAGCCCTGGCCTGCGGCAGTCAGCCTGGAGGAAAGCCTGTGACACTTGTGGGTCCTCCAAGGTGGCCACATGATCAGGGAATGTGGCCTCCATCACCTCTGCTCCAGCTCAAGCCCATGGGCCCCAGCCCTAGGTCCCAAGTGTGGCATCTCGGTCTAATGAATCAGTCAATTAATTGATGAGAATAATTTTCCCCCAAGGAGTGGTGAAGGAGTTTAAGCAGACTTCCGCCTACAGGTGTGCGTTGGCCCCTCTCGCTGGGACCTTTCCTGGCTTGGAATCGGCTCCTTCCCCTTTGGGGACCAGCAAGGACCTTCTGCTGGGGACTCTGCGCAGTGAGCCTGTCTTGCATCTGCTTTCTGGAAACCTTAGCCTGCCCCAGGCTTAGCCGGCCCCTGAGCAGGGCCGGAGGGCTATGCTGAGATGTTCTTGCAACAGTGAGAAGGACAGCGGGGAGCAGAGCCGCCACCTCGGCCTCCTGATTCCTTCCGAGCTGCTAATGAGGGTGCTGGGGTGAGGCAAGGGTAGATCTGGGACCTGCCTGGTTCTGTGAACGGTGCTGTCCCAGTGCAGTCTGGCCCAGGTCCACTGGGTCAGACACCGCAAACCTCAGCCTTGGGGACCTCACTTTCCTTGTGGTGCAGTGGCCCTGGTGCTCCACCTGCCTGTTTGGAGCTCCCCAGTGACCCCAGAAGTGGGGGGGCCTGGCTGACCTCTTTCCTCATACAGGTGGTGGCGGGAAGCTTGCCTCACCTACCAGGCCCTGGGTTGTTCTTGGAGGAGCAGAAGGTCCAGACAGGAAAGGCTGAGATCGAGTCTCTGTCTGGAAGCCAGCTTGGTCCCCCTGAAGGGCACCTCCGTGTCCTTAGCTCTTGCTGAAGAACAAGCCCAGGAGAAGGCCTGACCCACGTGGGGTCCAAAGCAGCTCAGACCTTGTCGCTGGTGTTCGCTGGATGTTTCTATGAAATCTCAGGAGTCAGGATTCAACTGTGGTGTGGCTGAACCCATGTAATACAGCACTTTGCAATCAGAAATGGAGCAAATCCATGGTCACAGAGGGGCAGGGGACTGTGCTGCACACCCGGGTTGTCAAGTAGACTGCAAGGACCCAGGCTTGGTTCTCACGCTTTGAGGACCAAGCGTGTGTTCTAATCTCAGCTCCTCTGCCAGCTAGCTGTTTCACCTTGGGAAAGTCACTTAATTGCTCCTGTTTCCTCTTCTGCACAGTGTGGGTAATGTTACTGTGCATCTCATTGGATTCTTGTGAGGATTACATGCAATGAAAGCACATGAGAATTGCTTAGCACAGGCCTGGGCAGGGAAATTCACGTCCTTCATATGTCCCTCATACGACCCAGTTCCCCCTCCAGCTCTGATGCCAACTTGAGGTTCTTGGAGGGCACCGGCCCCCTGCAGACCCCGCGCTGGGAAGAGCCACAGCGGAGCTGCGCGCTGGAGCAGATCTGTGGTGTGTTCCGCGTGGACCTGGGGCACATGCGCTCCCTGCGCCTCTTCTTCAGGTGAGAGCACAAGTCTGCCACTCCTGCACATCTGTCAGCCTAGGGATGCTTCCCAGGGCTGTAGCAGCAGAGGGAGCTGAGCCCTGGCTGCTGTTTCCGGATGTCCACTTCCCTCCCAGGGCCTCAGAGGTGCTGTCCCGTGGGGCTGCCCAGCTGCTCTGCTCTGGGGTTGCAGCAGCCAGGTGTTGCCAGAGCTCTGGTTCTGGGAAGAACCAAGGAGGGCTGCCATGGACGTAGAAGCAGCCAACCCGTCCCTGGAGGGGGTACCGAGGTCCAGAGCTGTGTTCCAGCCTCGTATGAGAAGGCGGCCAGGGTTGGGCAGATGGTGCCCACTGATGAATGCTGTCAGCTTCCCTGGGAGTCTCCCCACTGCCAGCCACGCAGTCTACACCCAGGGGCTTCTCTTGATGCCCATCCCACCAGGTTCCCAATCGGCTTTCAGCCTACCCTGGCACCTGGTCAGTGTCCACCCCTTTGACAGGAAGGGATGATGTGGTCAGGCAGGTAGTGGTGGGGAGAAGGCAGCTCTGGGCAGCCTTGGGAGAGGGATGACCCCAGGACTCCCCAGGAGGGAGCTGTTTTGCCTTCTGCAGCAAAGGGGGTGCTGGGTGTGAGTCCGCCCCCTCCCACCATGGCCAGCTCCATGGGGGCAGACTCTGATTGGCCTTGGAAGTAGAAACCCATGTCTGCATGCTCCTTGCCTACCCCCATGACCTCAGTGACGAGGCCTGCACCAGCGGCCAGCTGGTGGTCGCCAGCCGAGAGAGCCAGTACAAAGTCTTCCACTTCCACCATGGCGGCCTGGACAAGCTGTGCGAGGTGTTCCAGCAGTGGAAGTTCTGCGCCGAGACGCACCTGCGAGACCAGGTAGCCTGCCAACCCTGGACCTAACCCTGACCCCACCCTGGCCCCAAACCTGCAGTCGGGGCAGGGGTGCAGGAAGCCGCAGGACGTCTACCAGCAGGTGACCGACTGGACTGTCCTCTCCCCACCCCCGTGGGGCCAGCGCTTTCCCAGCACGTTGGGGGTCCCCACGTCCGCCCACAGGCTCGTGGGATGACCCCTGTGGCTTTTGGCTCTCTGTGGCCTGAGGAGGGCTGACAGCAAAGTACTTGGGGTGGGAGACTTGTGCCCAGGGCTTTTTGAAAGTCAGGGCTCTGCACTTGAAAAATCATGTTTTGACAAGGCTTCCTGCCATATTTTGCTCAATCTACATACAAATGTAATAAGAGCTCTTTAATTATCTGTTTAAGATACTGTATGTGCTTATTAGAAACGGGGCTGACTTTAAAGCCCCATCCTTCCCACAGAGCCTCCTGCTGGCTTCCCTTATTACAGTAGCATGGCGTCTCCCCCCTACACTGAACAACCTTTGATTTTTGAATTAAATGTCAGCTGCAGTCTTGCCCTGGATTCGTGACTGCTCGAGGAGACAATCTGACAGGCTGGCTCCCCACTCGCAGAACAGCGATCCCTTTGTATGTGGCCAATCACATGTAATTTATTGCAGGCCCTCCTGGCAGAGGGAAGTTAGGCCGTACGGGGCATTAATTCCGTTTGTTTTTTTTTTTTTGCGGCTGGGGTTGGAGAGAGAGTGGGCGGCAGTGTTCAGAGTGGGTGCAGCAAAGGGAAAGCGATTTTAGGATGGAGGTATTTTCATTTTAATTGCATCTAATTACACTTGCCATTTAGGGTTTGTATGCAGGGGGCAGCGCTGGCCCCTCCTCTCAGAAGAGAGAGCCTTGTAAATCCTGGGAACAGCAGCACTGGCTGCCAGAGCCCGTCTCTGGAGATGCTTATTATCTTTGCCCAGTTTCCCTCCCGTCCAGCAGGTCTCAGATGAACGGACGTGCATGCAGTTCTCCATCCGACGGCCCAAGCTGCCATCCTCGGAGACACACCCCGAGGAGAGCTCCTACCGAAGGCTGGATGTCTCCACCTGGCTCAGCCACCTGAACGAGCTGGGCCAGGTGGAGGAGGAGTACAAGCTGCGCAAGGTAAGACCTGGCCGGCTGGCCGGCCTCGCTGGAGCCCTTTCGGGACAGGCAGCTGGAGGGTGGGCCGGGCACCCAGGGGCTGTGCTGGGAGGGTCTCCTTCCTGGTGTGAGGTTCGGTGTGCGCCCCCCCCCGATGAAGTGATCAAAGCAGCTGCCTTGCAAACAGCTCCAGAGCAGGCTCGGGGATCCTGCGTCAGTCTGCGCAGAAGGGGCTGCGGGAGTGCAGAGCAGCATTTCCAAAAGCAGGGATTAGGCCATGACGTGAGAACGACACGTTAATCGGAGTGCCGCCCCAGGGGGCCTTTGACATTGAAATGAGCCGGTTTGTGTCCTGTATGGGAATGGAGGGCTGGTGCTTTCCCCTCATAAACATGTGCAAATTGCTGGGGCCTGAATCAAGGCCCTCTGAAGCCACCAAAACACATCTCTAAGGATTTGGGGTTCTTTGAGCTGCCCTATTTTATCCCCTCCCCAACTTTTGCTGCTTCCTCCAGGCCATTTTCTTTGGCGGCATTGACGTGTCGATCCGGGGAGAGGTCTGGCCCTTCCTGCTGCGCTATTACAGCCCCGAGTCCACGTCGGAGGAGCGGGAGGCACTGAGGGTGCAGAAGCGAAAGGAATACAAGGAGATCCAGCAGAAGAGGTACGGGGGACCAGCCCACCCCACTGAACCTCGGAGGAAAATAGCCTTGAAAGGGCAATTGGACGTGCAATTCAGCATCAATAATACGTTTCGTGACCCATAGCTTCTTTTGAGAATGGGTCTCCCAGGAGTGTGAGCGATCGGGTGGGCTAAGTGCAATCATTATACCACACCCTAGGGCCTCCGGATGGGGCTCCTCCGCTCACATGTCAGTTAGAGAATCCTTCTTCAGGAGGCTTAACTAGGCACTGGCACCCCCACTGCAGGCTGGGCTGGGAGTAGGGCAAGGGCAAAGAAAGCTGAAGCCTGTATCTCACCTGGGTGGCACTCCCCGGGGACTGCGCTCTGCTCTCCTTCCCAGAGCTGAGACTGGGTGCCGCTCCCCTACACTGGGGTGCAGGCCGCTGGGGCGCTGGGACCTGTGGAGCTGAGTTCATTCGGGCAACCTCGGATACGCAGCACCCATGTCTTTGGGAGCTGGAGGGTTTGCTGCCAGCAAGTGCAGCTACTTGGTCCTCCCCACCCAGGCATGTGTTACTCACCCTCTGGTGTGGAGCACTGGACCACAAGGCTGCCCTCTCCCTGCCAGGCTCTCCATGTCTCCTGAAGAGCACAGAGCCTTCTGGCGGAATGTGCAGTTCACCGTGGACAAAGATGTGGTCCGCACAGATCGGAGCAACCAGTTCTTCCGAGGGGAAGACAACCCCAACGTGGAGAGCATGAGGTACCCTGCTCCCCAGGGCTGGACAGGGCTGGCACATCTGGCCCTTCCTCCCCTGCAAGTCTGTGGGCCTCCCTTGCACTTCTGGGCCTCAGCTGACCCTCTGAAAGGGACCAGCCCAGCAGCAGCTTCCTGCAGGGTCTCTTCCAAGCTCATACGGTCAGGGTATTAGAGCAGAGGGTCAGCAACTTGGCAGGACTCTCACCGCCACTGCTTCCCAGGGCAGCCACGAGGTGCCGTCCAAGGGAACCATTAAAGCTGAATCCCTGGGCTCCTACTAAGACTGTCCTCCACCTCCCGATGAGTGGTCGCTCCTGTGATGAAGCCACACAGAGCCAGAGGCTGGCATCTTTGACATTCTACTACAGCCTGGCAAATAATTGCACAAAATTAACAGCCCATAAAAATGTCCCTGCCAGCCCACCCTTTGTCACAAGCAGTCAACCATTAAGAACATCAGACCCACATTCCTCCTTATCCCTGCTCAGGGCTCTGGGCCTGATGAGCAGCTAATTGCAGGCCCTTACCTTCAGCAAAGCAAGAGCCCGTTTGTCTTGATCCAAAGCTTGGGATCTCGAGACAGTCCCAGAGCTGCCAGGGCCTTTGAGCAGGTGCTGCCTTCCCTAGATGGAGGAGAGGAAGCCGCAGGCAGCAGGCCCCAGACAGGGCAGCAAGAGCGGCCGTGTCAGCCCTCCTCTGCTCTTCCTGCCACCTCACAGGAGGATCCTACTGAACTATGCTGTGTACAACCCGACCATCGGCTACTCCCAGGGGATGTCGGACCTGGTGGCGCCCATCCTGGCCGAGGTCCTGGATGAGTCTGACACCTTCTGGTGCTTTGTTGGCCTGATGCAGAACACGATCTTTGTCAGCTCTCCCCGGGACGAGGACATGGAAAAACAGCTGGTGAGTGCTGGGGTTCAGCATGTGTGCACGTGAGTGCGTGTGTGTGTGCGTGAGTGTGTGTGTGTGTGTGTGTGTGTGTGTGTGCACTCGTGCTGCACAGCAGCGTGAGAGGGTGCACACCACCACCTTCTCTCACAGCAAGGGGTCTCCATGATGACGTGTGGCATTGTTGTCACCGGTCAGCAGCGGCAGAAAGCTGGGTCGGGGTTGCTGATGGATTGTACTTAGCCCTGGGCCTCCTGGGAGGGAACAGCGCCCCTCAGCATCCCAGGAGGGGGCGGCCCCTGGCTGTGCAGGTCTCCCCGCGGTGGCCTTGTACCTTTGTGCACCTGGCAGTCCAGTCCAGGAAGGCCCCACACACCTGTGCCGTGTGGAAGGGGCTCTCTGTGTTTGGGCTGCAGATCCACCACGGCTGAGGCTCCTAATGCCATCCTGAGGCCAATGGAAATTCTCAAGTCCCACCCTAGAGATAGCAGGGGTCCAGGCGGCACTGCCTCAGGGTCTCCCCAAAAGGATGAGCCCTAAGTAGCACAAGCAGCACCGAATGGCAGGAGAGTGCATGGCCCAAGACTGGACGGGCGGGGCCAAGACTGCGTGTCCCCTGTGTGTGTGCCACGCACCTGCTGAGTGCCAGAGTCAGGCCCTGCGGTGTGGTCACCTGAGCCCAAGGGAAAGCTCGGCCCAGAAGCTAACTGAGCAGGAGACCAGCCCCCTGGAGGTAGAGGTGACAGAAAGTGTGATGTAGACACAGGGAGGACAGCAGGAGTCCCAGGACCCCGAGGCTGGAACTGCTTACCATGGGGTCACTTAGCCGGGCAGGGCTCCAGGCAGTCATGCCACGGCCTGGTCTTGAACCAGATGTGCTTGGTGAGGCCCCCACAGATATGGGGGGTGGAGGAGCACGTCCTGCAGGTAGCCCAAGGGGATCTGGGGGTGGGGGGATGGCAAGGCACAGCGAAGAGGACTCAAAGCCGCCGAGCCTGGTGGTGGGCCCAGTGGGAAGGGGCCAGGGGGGTCAGCCATCAGCTCTGCTGTGGCCTTGGCCCTGCTGGAGCTGCGAAGTGCAGACACTGGCCTGGCAGGAAGGACGCTGGAACACAGCTCCTGGGCCCCTGCCGTCCCAGCCACTGTCTCCGAGGGAACAAAGGGCCACTTGTGTGGGGAGGGCTGTGAGGGCCGCTGAGACCCCCAGCCCTGATCTCAAGAGCATCTGACACACACCCCACCGCCGCCAGCCTGCTCCCCTCTCTCCCTCAGCATCATCCCGCGTCTGTGAGGTCAGTCTCCCCAGTACCCGGAAGCCATTACAAGGTCTGACGCCATTCACCTCTGACGGCTTTGGGCTGCACTCGGCCCAGTGACTCATTAGCTACCAGAGACTGATTTTCTAGCAGCATGGGTGAAGTCAGCAGCCCCGGGGCCGGGTGCTGCCAAAAATAGCTTTGATCTTGTCCCACGTCACAAGGGGGTGACCTTTTGCAAGGGAATCCAGCATCCTGGGGCTCAGACTCGTCCCTCCCTGCTCTGAGTCAGCTCGGGGAGATGGAGGATCATGGTGTGGGAGAGGAAAGGGGTTGGGCAGGCTCCCCTGGGTGATCTGCGCACCTTGCCGGGAGGGGTGGGCATTAGAAACAGCCCCCAGGTGCTGGCTGGGGCTGCCTGACGTCCCTGTGAGTCAGCCTCCCTCCTGGGCCACACGGGGCAGGTGTACCTTACTCTGCCTTCTTCTGCCTTGCTGGGGGCCAGCATCCAGGAGTCTTAACCCTCAGGAGGTCTCAGCCTGAAAAATTACAGCGGAGGTTGTATCTCTCCGAGAGATGCCTTCTTCGCCCCTATGTGGTGAAATGTGAAAAGAAATTAAAACACTGCAAATCTACATTTATTGTCTTTATATAATAAAATTTATATAATAAAATTTTAATTTATTTGCAGTTACAATTTAGAAATTACTAGACAAATACATATAACACTGTATCCCAGAGTTTACAGAGTGTCTCGTAGACAGTACACTGTCAGATGGCACGAACCCTAACCAAACTGACAGCGTTGGCATCACGGCTTAATGTCAGTCCCATCCAAAGGCAGCTGCCCTCCGCCTTGAGCCTATGTTCCCAGAGTGTGCACCGGTATTTAGGGAAAGGGTCTGCTCGAATCTCAGGTCAGCCGTGACTTCCGGGGTTAAACCTGGGTCCGCCTGGCAGAGACAGATGTGGGCAGACTTCCCAGGGCAGGATGGGTAGGGGGCAGAGGGACGCCTGTGTGTGCTTGTCAAGGCTGGGGCAGAGGGGCGGGCCTCCTGCGCTGCGGCAGGGCTGCAGGTGGGCTGACCGTCCTGGCCTCCCCCAGCTCTACCTGCGGGAGCTGCTGCGGCTGACACACCTGCGCTTCTACCAGCACCTGGTGTCGCTGGGCGAGGACGGCCTGCAGATGCTCTTCTGCCACCGCTGGCTGCTGCTGTGCTTCAAGCGCGAGTTCCCTGAGGCCGAGGCCCTGCACATCTGGGAGGCCTGCTGGGCCCACTACCAGGTGAGCAAGGGCCGCTCCAGCCTCACCCCAAGCTTCCTCTGCAGGGTCCCTGGTTCCTGCTCGCACACCAGCAACAGCCCCTCAGCAACCGCTGTCGGTCCCCTGTGGCTGGCTTCCGCCCTCGACACCCCGGTCACTGAAATCGATGCAGATTGCCCACTGAGGGCACTCATTACCGCCTTCTGGGGCTGAGCTCCCTCCTGTCAAGGCCAATCAGCGAGACAGACGTCAGCCAGCTGAGCAAGGCCACGGCAGCCGGGATGCCGGTGCCCACGTGCCGGGCCAGCCCGCCCACCTGCGCCCTGGGGCTGCTCTGCGGTACACCAAGGTCCTGCTCAGCTCTTCTTCCTCGTTCTCGGCAAAGGCCCCAATGCCACGCCCCCGGCAGCCCCTCCAGAGAGCACTGGTCAGTGATGCCAGCTTCCGCTCACCATCCACTGTTATCAGTGTCTGCGCCACTGATTTCCTTCCCAGCACGGGGCTGACTGTCACGTGGCTTTAACACCACGTCAGGCAGCAGTTGGCTATGTGAGAGGATAGGCAAGTCTCTTCGAATCCGTCAACCTTAAAAAAAAAAATAGCATGGATGCATTCTGGCAGAGACAGCTCTCGAGCCTGGGCCTGGCCACAGCAGCTCCGCCAGATGGACCTTGGAGAGATGCGAACGCCTACCCCATCCTCTGCACAAATGAGCACGGGCATTTCCCATGCTGAGTGGTGTCTCGGGGCTGTTATGTCTGAGCACAGGGAGCTGAAGCAGTGTAGGGCAGGCGCCCCGCGATGTCTGTTCACTCATCGTGGCCCACCACAGCCTGCACCCCTGACTGGGGTCTGGGCGGCGTTTCCCACCTGCATGAACGCGCTGGACACAGACAGGCAGGACAAATGCGCCCACCTTTCCTTCCTCACCTTCTTCCAGGAGGAGCCGGGCATCCACTTCCTGGAACCTCATCCCGGCCAGAGTTCTTACCACTGCCAAAGGGCCAGGCCGAGCCCAAACAAGGTCTTTCTGGATCCGTTCTGGGAGAGAACCTGGGGAGTTTGCCACCCCTGGCCTCTGCCGGCCTGGTTGGGGACTCAGCGTCTGGGTGGGTAGGGTAGTGGACGGCAGGAGACAGACACAGACTTCCTGGGTCCCCAGCCCCACCCTTCCTCTGCCTCTGGGACCCAGCATGCCTGGAGGTGTCCAGGTGGGTGGGCCTCTGAAAAGAGAGTTAGGACCAACGTGATGTGACCATGTCCGCCCTCGGGGAGGGCACCAGGGAGCCGCTCAGCTAGGATCTGCTTCCAAAGCCATAGCGACACACCCTAGTCTGGGCAGCGCTGTGGCCCTCAGCCTGCGTCCAGGGCACAGACCGGCAGATTCAGGCTGCCCGAGGCTCTCATACCCCAGCAGTGTGTTCTGACCCGGCCTTATGCACAGCCCTCTCAAGACCTCGGCCACTGGGACTCCGACCAAAGTGCAAGGGCCAGGCTTGGAGGAAGGGCGTTCTTTGCCCTGTCACAGACCACTGGAGGAGCCAACCAGAACAGCACCAGCACCACACATTCTGGACTCACAGCAGCCTGAGGTGTGGGTTCTGACCGAAACCAGCACCATTTGCCCATGGAGATGCTTAGGATGAAAGCCACTGTGCAGCTGCCCAGGACCACAAGACCTCAAGCATAGATCCCAGACCTAGACAGCCTCACCGGGACCCCCGATACACTCTTCCTCCAGGTGGGCTCGGGGTGAGCTGGGCCAGCCTGAGCTCCGCTTCTCCCCGCAGACGGATTATTTCCACCTCTTCATCTGTGTGGCTATTGTGGCCATCTATGGGGACGATGTCATCGAGCAGCAGCTTGCCACGGACCAGATGCTCCTGCACTTCGGCAACCTGGCTATGCACATGAACGGGGAGCTGGTGCTCAGGAAGGTGAGGGGCTGCTCAGCCAGAGGCCCCACCCCCAGGGGCCCCTCAGCCCCAAGCACATAGAGCCCCACCCCCCGTGTACACAGAGCTCTGCCCCCAGATGCAGGCCCTGCCCCATAGCGGGTGCCCTGTGCCATCCCCCATATGGCCTGAGGCTCAGGGATCTACATCTGCAGCAGCACCTCAGCATTTGCTGTGTCCCAGAAAGGCTGACCTCACACTCTTCATGGATCCCATCCTGACACAGGGGCCCCCATGGCCACAGATTCCTGGGCTGGTACCAACCTGGGGCTCCTCAGTCCCAGCCCAGAGCTGAGGAGACGGAGGAGGGGCTTGATTTCCCATGCCAGGTTAGCCAGGGTGGGGGCCTTGCACTTTTGTGGCCTGTCCTGTTGCCACACTCACGCTGAAAGTGCTGCTCCTTGGTGCTCTCTAGTGCTTCATGGGGGCGGTAAGGAGGGCTTCTCAGGGTATCCTACACGGGACCCCAAAACAGACCCCACAGTGGCTCAAGGTGGCTAGTGGCCCGGGGCAGGTGGGGTCACTTGCCTCGGGGGGGTCCTGCATGAAGACCATTGGGAGCTTCTGTTCTTGAGCCACTTGTGAGCAGAGCACCTCCTGAGAGGCCCAGGCCCCAGGTCCTCTGTGCATTGGCTCTTGCTGCGGGGCTGCTTCCAGCTGCTCCCCCGGGGACCCCAGCCACCGCGCTTTCCCCCTGACCCCACCCTCTCTCCTTGCAGGCCAGGAGTCTGCTGTATCAGTTCCGCCTCCTGCCGCGCATCCCCTGCAGGCTGCACGACCTGTGCAAGCTCTGCGGGACAGGCATGTGGGACAGCGGGTACATGCCTGCTGTGGAGTGTGCTGGCCACCACCCGGGCTCCGAGAGCTGTCCCTACGGGGGCACCGTGGACGTGCCGTCACCCAGACCCCCGAGCGATGGCAAGAAGGGCCCAAAGACATCTCGGGAAGGCTTTGGCTTCCGCAGATAGGAGCTGCTGCCTGCTCAGGACGAGGGGTGAGGGCCGTGCAGAGGTCCTAGCATGTGGGAGGGGGTGGGACGGGCGTGGAGGGGACCGGGGATGATGAAAATGTAAGAAAGATGCCTTTGGGCAGCATGAAGAGAGCCGCTGCAGAGTAAGGACAGAGTCGGGAGATGACAGCACAGGCCTACCAGCCACCCAGAGAGAGGCCGGTGCCAGGAACCGCGGGGCCCAGGAGCGCCTCAGGATGCAGGCAGGCGGGCCCTCTAGTCAGCCGCCTTTGGTGGGCTTCAGCATGGCCCAGGAGCCTTCCTTGCCAGGCAGTGGGAAAAGCAGGGATGGCAGAAGAATGCCTTGTCCATCCCCAGCACCAAGAGAAAAATGGGGTCCCCTGCACAGGCGCAGAGACGGCCCTGCAAGCCAGACACACCCGCATCCACCCCACTCTCTTCCAGGGAGGCAGGCGCCACAAGGAGACGTCTGCCGGAAGAGTTCGGAGACTCTCCTGAGGTCAAGAGCAGCGTTAGGAACAGGACTGTCCGGGTCAGCATTGTGCCTCGGGGAGGGGAGGCACCTGCCCACGTGCCACAGCCAGGGGCTTGGCACTCATCGGATGCCACCTCTTGGTTGGGACCTTCACCTAAGGACCTGAGGTGTTGTTTACAGTTAGCCCCACCAAATACAGCAGCCAACTGGGGACTGAAAGGGCCGTGGCATTGTGTGTGTGTGTGTGTGTGTGTGCGCGTGTGTGTGCAATATTAAGTGACCAGCCAAGACCAGACACCTGAGCTGGCTGGGGAGGCCGGGCCACCTTCCTCAGGACTGCAGCCTCTGCTCGAACACGGACCTCCCATCAGGCAGCTTCTGAGGCGGCTGGGCACAAAAGGCCGCTGTCAAAGAGCAGCGCACAGGGCTCTCTGCTTCTGGGTGGGAACAAGACTTCAAACAAGACTCCAAAAGGCTGAGTGTCACTCACTGCTCCTGGGAGTGAGGGATGGAGTGGACAGACGAGACTCTTGACAAGACATGCGTGGAAAGCCACAGCTGAGGCGGCTGGGAGCGGGGAGCTTGGAGCCCTCTACAGGTGTCACTGGGAGCAGGGGTTCCTCCTACGCTCTGCTCTGTCATGGAAGGGTACGGGCACTGCTGGACGGTGCCACTTTTAAAAATATTTGTCAACAGGAAGAGGGGTCCTGGCACCAGCCCTGCCTTCCATGTTCGCTATGAGCTTGGTCCTCTCCACAGGAGCCTTCAAGTTCCCAGGTCCCTCTGACCAAGAGCCCTGGGGTTGGGGGGCTATTGAGGAGCCCTGTCATTGTGCAGAACTTGCCCTGTTGGTCTTTGTGATCCGGCAGCGGTGGTCCTGAGAGATGGGATTCTCATCTACTTTGCTTTGGGAAGAGGATTGTTGGCTCCTGATCCTCGGGGACTTAGAGTTAACCAGGCCTGAACTGCCCCAGGCCTCTGGAAGCCGGACCCTGGAAGCAGGTATATTATCAGCCATCCCTTCCCACAGTGGTACAGTACAGCAAATAACCCAAGAACTTGGTGACCTAGAGCCGTACACACTTAGCTCACACACAGGTTTGCTGGTCAGAGCCCCAGCTGGGCAGTTCCGGTCTTGGTTGGACTTGCTCAGCCCTAAAGTCCTGCCGACCCTGGGGTCTCAAGTAGGTCTCTTGCATCCCTGCCGCTGGCCAGCCCTGCTGGGGACGTGCCTTCCAAGCCGTGTGACACCACACCTGCTGACATCGCTGTGGTTAAAGCAGACTCGTCGCTGGCCTCGGCGTCCTGGGGTGGGGCATGGACCCTCCCCTCCAGTGTCCCCTCTGCACGGTCATGTGGGCAAAGCCTAAGAATCTGCAAGAGAGGGGGCTGGGATTGCTGTTACAATCCCTTACCACTGCCAGGAAGTCTTGGTCCAAATGCCACTGTCCCTTGTCACTCCTTGCCGGAGAGGAGGAGCGGTTTCCTGCCCTCCCCTCCCCATACCTCCGGCCGGTGTTTCAGCCTCACACCTTGTGCCTTTGGGCTGCTGGTCAGTCAGTCGTCAGTCCAGTCGGGAGAAGGCTGTTGGGAGGGGAGCAGGTCCCGGGTGAAAGCCTCCATCGTTTCTCCGCCTCCTCAGTTCCTCCCTGGCAGCTCCCCAGCCCTGCCCCAGACCCGCCAGCTGCGTCCTCACCTGGTGTCACCCTGCCCCTCACCCTCCCTGTGGCCGGCACAGATCCAGGGGACATCTGCACCTGTGGGCCAACCAGGGTCTTGGAAGCCAGACCTGGGAGTGTCGGCTGGAGGAACCCTGCTGGGGGCGGCGGACAGAGATGCCCTCCTTCACACAGCTCCCTTAATCTGGATGCAATTAGAGGAAACCAGCCAAAAACCCTGCGGCAGCTGTTACCCCAGGATTATTCCCAGCCAGCAAAAGGCATTAGGGTGATAATTCAGTCATTAGACTCCAAGCCTTCGCACTGCCAGGACGTGCAAATAGGGGGTAATCAGCCCAGCACTGCCGTCCTCGGCGATGCTGCTTATTTAACCCATTTTTTAAAATGACACTTAATGTTATTGGCTGGCGCGCGTGTGTGCGCATACTTACAAGTCAGTGCTCGGTCCAGCCCCACCACTAATGTCTGTGCTGACAGTGTTGCGTGATGTCATCCGGGGCCTCGGGGCCGAGAGGGCACCTTTGATGTGTGTGTGCAGGCCTAGCGGGGCCTTGATGCCTGCTGCCACCCAGGGAGGTCCTGCTGACTTCAGGCTCAGCCTCCCAGGGAGAGGGGACCATGCTGGGGGTCAAGAGGGGGACACACCCGCAGGAAATGGCTGAGCCCTGTGACTGGGCCAGAAGGGTGTCTTCCCAGGGTGCGGGGGGCACAGTGCTCTTTGGGAAGGTTCCGCCTCAAGTCCCAGCCAGGAGGACTCACCCAGCTCACCTCTGCAGAGGAGCAGGGTCTGGAGTCCACCCAGGCAGCCTTGGGCCTGGACATTGTCCATGCCACATCCTCCTGACCAGCTGAGCCTCAGGCAGGAGGGAGGCTGTTAAATCTCAGAGTCCGGAGCTCAGCCTCAGAGCCCATGCCACACCCTGCTGGGTGGGAGGCCATGGGCTATGAAATAGGGGCTTCCCTTTGCCTTGGATTGTGGCAGAGGACACCTACTTCACGCCTTAGATAGGTGGCCCTGGAGTGGGGAGGTGGCCACAGAGAAGTGGGGCGAGGGCTAGTTGGGGGCTCAGTTCCTGCGCGGTCCCTCTGCGCACTTGCCTGCCAGAAATGCCTTGGGGAAGGGAGCCCTGGGGAAGTGGGCCAGCTCGGCCAGCCCTGCGAGGCCTCACTCTTGTCCAGGCTCCTTGGCTCCCTGCGTGGAGAGTGAGGGGCTGGGGACAGCCTGGGCTCACCAGGAAGAGGAAAAGAATCAGCTTCAGTGTGTGTGTCCAGAAAAGGACCCCGGAGGCTGCCCTGCCTTGGAAGGGGGCAGAGAGGGCCCCCAGGAAAACTCGCACAGTACTCGGGGATGCAACCTGGGGCACAGGTGGGACTGGCTGCTAGGCTGCTGGGCTGCTGGGCTGCTGGGCTGCTGGGCTGCTGGGCTGCTGGGCTGCTGGGCTGGGCCCACCCATCCCTGCAGTCCCTGGGAATAGACAACCCTAGGATCCAGTGAGCCCTGGGCTCTAACCTGGCCACAGACACTTCTGTCCTGGGCCACCCTGGCCTGGACAGAAATGCCTCAGTCTAAAGCCAGTTTCCCCTAAATTCCTCCCCAGAGCCGAGAAGCAGCACTAGGCAGAGGGAGGAGCTCATCCCAGGGGTCCAGGACCTGGCCTCCAGCTGCTGCCAACCCTCCCTGGTGTGTGGCCTTCTGCCTCTCCCAGTCTGTTTCCTCACCTGTGAAGCAAGAATAAGGCACCGCTAGGCTGTCTCAGGGCTGCCAGGGGGACCCTTGGGGTACAAGCCACCAGGCGGATGGTTACCTCAGGCTAGGACCTCACCTGGCGCTCAGGGAAGAGACCACTGGCCTTAGCCTTCAGTAGCACTGCCCACTCGGGCCACATGCGCTAGGTGGCTTGCAGTCTGCACGCCCCTGTCCCTCCTATGTGCCCGTCTTACTGTGTGTCTTCTGCCAAGGGCAAAGCTCTCTGCCTGGTCTTCGAAGTTCACTCTATGCCAGTCATTCCTGCCACAGAGAAATCAGCCACAAACCTGCTCAGTGAGCCTGACGCGTGTCCCCGTGTGTCCTCCGGATCTGACCCCCTCAGAGCTTAGTGACCAGGAGGAGGACGTGCCTGGGCCTCCCTGAGCAGAAAGACATGCAAACAGCCTGCCACCACCCAGCGTTTTAAACACGCTGCCTTGTACGTCCAGGCTGGACGGTAGCACTCCACATCCTGAGAGGGATCAGGCCCTGTGACCATCTTTCCTCTGGTGCTTTGTGGGTAGAGAGTTATTTAAAGGAAGTCTCACGAAATTTTCACCATTCCCGAGAGATTTGTGATGTCTACGGCAAGTGACTCATTCTCTGTGTTCTGCTTTGTTTTTTAACAATAATCATCCAGTAGTCAGGCCCAGGACTGGTCCCATGAACCTTGTGAGCCATGGCCCCAGCAGTGCTTCTGGCTTTCATGGATTCCACTGCAGAGAAAATAAAATCATTGACAACGAGTGTACCCTGCACAGTGCCTTTAGGAAGGGGCAGGGTGGGGGCATTGCTAGGCTTGGAGGAGGCAGGCCAGGGTGCTGGGCAGGGAGGGTTCAGTGGGAGATGAGCCAGAGAGGCCTGTGGACCTTCCTTTCCCCAATTCTTAGCTGCTCTGAGATGGGGGAGCTGCTGGGGTCCTGGGTGGCTGGACCCGCAGGCCCTGCTCAGGAAGCCTTACTACGGCAGCGGATGGACTGGCACTTGACCTCTGGAGGACCGGCCAGAAGGAAGGGCATCCAGAGCCTGGCATGGGGAGATGGGTAGAGAGCTATAGAAAGTTGACTGTGTCTCAGGGCCACCAGCCTTGGGCCCCCTCGGGGCCCCAAGCTGACCAGCTACACTTTCTTCAGTCTTAGCTGCCAGGGTTCCAGTTTCAAGAAAAGCCTGAGTCTTACATTTGTGAATTTCTTTTTTAAGAAGGCAAACAAGGTGAATTTGACCTTGATAGGGCAGGAGCTAAGGGAAAATTGAGGCATCAGTCTTGCGTCTTGCTGCCCTCCCGAGCCCTGCGAGCCGGGACGCAGGGACACATGTCTAGGGCATCATGGGACAGTGGGCAAACACCTGGGAGACCCAGAGGGTTCCAGAGCATGGAGGCGGGGCTGGAGCTGCTTTTCCTGTGTTGCGTGTGTGACTTTCTGTTCTTGTGCCTGGGAGAGGGACTGGCAGGAGCTCTGATGTGTACAGTGCTGGGTCCCACACCTAAAGGGTCTGTCTCACCTCCAGCCTACCTGGCCTTGGGGTAGACATCTGAGCATGTGCCTTGCCCTTGTGTGCCAGGAAGTGTCCCCAGGAGACGGGCCTGGCAGGTCCCCTCAGAGGTACTGGAAGCGACAGTTCTTTGTGCTGTCTAAGGACACCCCTGTCCCTTTGGCAGTGAGTAGAGCCAGTGCCAGGCCACAAGGACAAGCCACTGAGAGAGCCAGACTTCCTGCTGTCCTAAAGCTGGCTGCTCCTCTGGTGCCTGAGAAGGGTACATCTTTGGCAGGACAGCTGGGCCGTGTATGCAGTGCAGTGTTTACACTGCAGCCAGTGGTGGAGACTGCACAGGGCGAGTTGTCCGGGGCCTCTCTCATGCTTACAGCAGAGAGCACGGCTCACAGCCCCATCCTGCCCATCGCTCGAGCATGTGTTCATGCAGCAAGCCCTCAGTGGGCCCTGCTCTGCCTGGTAGGGGGACCCATTCTGTTGTGCCCTTCACTCACCCCGGGAATGGACATGGGGCGTACAGGGTTGGTCCAGTGTGGGGCAAGGCCAAGCACATTGCCAACCTCTGCCTGGACAAACCCCGAACGTTCAGTTTCCACGTGGCCTTGGACTGCCCCTTCTCCACACGCGAGACTGACTCCACTCAGGTGAGCGAGAAATGACCCTCGCCTCACTTCCTCTCGCTCCAGGTGAACCCCACTGTGAGCCCCCTCAGTCCAGGGCTGTTCAGTGTTGCTGGTGTCTCTGCTTCATCCCAGACACATGAGCTGAGGGTGAAACCTCTTGTGCAGAACCACACTCGCGGCTCCTGGCCCCAGTTGTCACTGAGCCCCCTTTGTTTAAGCCCAGAGAATCCAGGGAGGCCTGGCTCTGCTGCAGGGAGGCCCTGGTGCTGACTTTGCTGCACATGTGCCCCGTCTGGGAGGGGGAGCCTCAACATCCCGCCTCCTGCCCCCAGGACAGGAGAACCTCAAGCTTGCCCCCTTCTCCAGCCAACTGCACTGGAAGAGGGGCCAGACCTGAGTCCACTTCCCCAGCCTCTGCCGTCCAGAAGGCACCGCCACTGACCTTGCCTGTGACCTTCAGATGTTGGCATTCCCACCCATCAGAAGGGACAGTGCCTCCCTGACCCACCCCCCACCCATTCCTCTCTCCAGATCTCAGGAGAGTGGCCAGGCCCTGGGCTCCTGGGTGAGTAGCGTGGAATGCACACAAGTGGCCTAGTCTCTGAGCAGGGATAAGTCTGCCTCCACCACCAGGCGCTGTCAGCTCTTCAGCACTGAATGGAGAAGAACACCGGCTGTTTTGAGACACTTCCTACTTGGAGATGATGGCTTAAGAATGTTCTGGGTCCATAGGGCCGGGGATTTAGCTCAGTGGTGCCGCCACCTGCCTCACAAGCGCAAGGTCCTGAATTCAATAAAAAAAATAATAAAAAAAGAAGAAGAATGTCCTGGGTCCCTATCTAGAGGCTGAAGTCAGGATGGTGCAAAGGGGTTAGGGTGTGATGGCACAGCTGGGTGCCGTGGCAGGAAGCAAATCCCCCCAGCAACAAGAGGCACCCGCCGCCTCCACAAGGCTCGGACACAAATTTACTGATGAATAAAGTCCACTGCTTCCTGGCCACGAGTAGATGCATTAGAACATGACACCGAGTGTCCTAATGGTTACACGTCCATGGTGAATGAGCATGTGGTGACAGACAAGGACTAGGAAGTCCTGCCTGGAAAGGAGCTCAGAGCTCTGCTGTGCCCAGCGTCAGAGGGACAGGCAGAGGATTCTGAGAGTGACACCAAAGTGACTGAAAAGCCTTCCAAAGGGCAAAGGATGGGCCCTTGCTTACAGCAAAGGCTGACAGGTGATAAATGCTGTTGAGCATTCGTGAACTATGGAGAGGGGGCCAAGTAGCTGTTGGCTGCTGCTCTGGGAGTGGGAGACCTGGGCGGGTGCTAGTGGCTGTGGACGGCTCTGCCGGGGGCCACCATCAGGAGGTGCCCGTCCACTCCTCTTTCTAGAACTCGGGCTCAGAGGGCAGGCTCTGGGTGTGGGCCTCACCCTGGATGCAGACCAGCTACTGCTAACAGGGTCTCCGGCCCCCAAGAACCACACCAATGCCTGGGACACTGGTGAGAGCATTCTGGCTTCTCAGATTAGCTCTAAGGGAAGCCTCCCCAGCCTCTTGGTGTCCCTCTGTGAAAGGAGATCCCAGTCTACAAAAAAATCAACAAGCTCAGACAAAAATCCACCAGGAACCAAGTCTGAGGGTGGGTGGGTGGCAGACGGGTCACCTGCAGCGCCAGCTCCTAGGCAGTGTCCAGGAATCCAGCTGCCTCCTGCTCTCCTGCCCACCCCACCCCAGGACTGGGAACTGGAAGTAAGGTGTCCAGAGACACACACTCTCTTTTCCCTAAAGTCTGCACCCTCTTGGCTTTCTGATAGATGCCCAAGTTCTGTGGAATGATTAGAGGGGAGTCAAGGACCCTCTGTACCAGGTGAACAAGCGGAAATGACCTTTCAGGACACGGTGCCAGCTGTCCTGGGACAGCATGGTGGTGGGGCTGCTGGCTGCATAGGGGAGGCAGGAGGAGGGGCCTGCCACAGGTGTCTGCAGTACCCACGAGGACCCCACAGCTGGCCGGAAAGGAGGGTCCTCCTACTTCCTGCCTGCAGCCTCCCCCTCTCGGTGTGCCTGTCCCCCTCCCTACACAGCAGCCACAGATGGCTGCCTACCCTCTCCTGGGTGCTGCAGATTTGTAAGCAGAAGGACCCTCAACCCTCTGGCCAGGGTACAGCCACCAGGGCAGGGCCCAGTCTGTACTGGAGACTAACCCGAACACCAAGGTCTGTTTCCATGGGGGCTCCCAGCCTCCCAGAATCTCCAGGAGAAGGGATGTCCTTCCGAGAGTGCTCCAGAGACAGCTGCTGTTCCCCATGTCCTGCTGGATGCCAGCCCTTCCGTCCATGCTGAAGCACAGCCTGGCCTGGGATTGAACAACACTCTCACTCTGCAAAGCGTGGGCTTCTCACAGGCCCCGCTCTCGTGAGAGGAGGGAAGGGGCGGGCACCTGGAGCCCCCAGCCCACTGCAGGTCTCGCATCCACAGGGGGTGGGGTCTATGTGCGAAGAGGCTAGAGAAAGTGCAGCCGGGCACCGTGTGCTCAGAAATCCTCAGCCGACTCCCGTTTCAGCAGGGAGAGGCTGGCTCTGCTCACGCCAGCCCTTTCCGTGCAGGGCTTCGTGGCTGCTCCTCTCTACTTCACAGCCAGATGGCATTTGCCTGAGAGCAGCCCCTTCAGCTCAGAGCTACTGTGCGCAAGGTTCTCAAGCAGGTGGGGAGGGGGCCACCAATCCGATCACATCAGGCACACTCCCGATAAATATCAATAACCGGCAGCTATGGAATGTGAGGGAGTCTAATTACAAGGATGCTGTGCGAGCCAGCAGCTCTGCCACGGGAAAACACAGAGCCCCAGAAGGACCTGGGCCCCTGCTCTGCCCTAGATCCCACAGCCGCTGTTCCTGGGAAATCGTCAGCTGCCCCCGACCCACCCAGCGCAGCAGCACAGGGGACGGCGGGGCCTCTGGCACCAGCCTTTCAGAGCCTACCCACTCACCTGTCCCTGCCTCAGCCTCCGGAGCCAACTACTTCTAGGGCACCTTGGCCTGCCAGGGTCCTGGCCCTCAGCCCTCTGGTCTTCCTTCTGTCTGTCTCTGTCCTTATACAGCCTGGACACACACACACACACACACACACACACACACACACGCTGTGCTCCTCCTGCAGACTCACAGAAAAGGGACTCTCAGGCCTCTGAACAGCACCAGGTGCCAGGAGCCCCAGACCCCGTGTTGACCAAGACCTCCCCGCCCTCCTTTAAGCCGAGAGCTGCATGTGCTCATCCAGGGCAGAGTCCTCCGCTGAGTCGAGCTGGGCCTGTGCCAGACCCTGCGTTTCTGCAGGACACACCCGGGGGGGCAGAGCACTCTGACCACCAGCCAAAGAAGACCTGCCAAGCACCCGAAGGTGGGATGGGGCTGCAGTCAGCTGTGTCCCCACCAGCAGGGAGGCGCTGGCCATGGGGCCTGGACCCGCCAGGGGCCTTGGGGGCCTTGCCTGCCCTTTCGGGCCTCGGGGAAAGGAAGCTGGAGGGGTAACCCCATGGAACAGGGAGGCCTGTGCTTGAGCCCTGAGCACCCTGCTCTGCCTGGAGCTGCGTGCCCAGTGTCCTCTTTAAACTGAGTGTCGCTGTGGGTGATGCA